TATTCAACCGTAAGATGTACTATTCAGTTGTTTAGATTATTAATGCCAAATCAGTGCTTAATTTTAACGTTAAGTTAAGAATGTTGACCACTGAATTTTGAGTTAGTGATTTTAATGCAGCTTGTTTCTTGTAAAACCTAAAAGATTCAATCTCTCACAACTCTGAGGTTGTAGGCGCACTCTAACATTGAGAATTTTTGTAGTGAAAGCGATCCAGTGTTCACCGATAGCAAACTATGATGAATACTATTGAGAAAGTAAGCTTATCGGTGTTTCAGAAAATCCTCAATCAAACTATGTAAATGTTATGATAGCATCGAGAAGCATGACGATGCCTCCAGAGGCTCTAAAGGAGCTGAAGAGTTTCCGTCCAATCAAAGCCCGATAGAGCCTTCCAGAAAATCAACGTAGCGTGCGACGATTGGATGGTAGCATAACTTGCCCCCTTGAGGATCGACTGAATTATAATGACGTTATAGCCAACGCTAATAACTATAAGTACCCTCTTCATCTTCGCCTGCACGAACATCAATTAGTGGTCAAACACCATCACATATCCTCGCTTATACCAATGCAGGTGAACAACTGTGGACACACATTCTACTGGGAAAATGTTGAGATCTTGTATAGAAGGAATTCTGAAAACACCAGAAACTTTTTTTAGAAGCTTGGCACCCAGGCCAATCAGCAATCAGTTATACTCCTAAATATCAACAACCGGAAATTACAAACCTTCGCCAATACCTATACTACTAATTTTTTTAATAATCATCTGATTAACTGGTTAACATAATCAACTGTCAAGTCTTTTAGACGATAGATAGCTTTTAAATAAAATTAGCCATATTTGTGCTATCCCGTTATCATCAATCATGGTTGAATTTCGATCAGTTTTGCTGGCACATATTCATTCTGAGTGGATCGCCACAATATTGCAATTCTGTCACAAGATTTCTTTTAATAGATGGATTATAGCTAATAGTGGGATCAACAATGCTGGGTTTTTTTCCTATCCGGGATTCGCCAGTCGAATGTATCTTCATCCGTGTTGATATGTGTATTAGGACTCAAACTCGGTGCTTCTCCTGGACTCAGTAGCTTAATGGATAATGGGTTGGGATTTGGGACGAAAGGTACTAGGTTAGAGTTTCAGTGCTAACAACAAACATGCGGATAAACCCAACTGACCAGTCGCGAATAGGATGAAATACATATTATGAGTTCTGCTGATAGTTATAATCCATGTATTACATAAAAATAGTACTTTGATCATTAAAATTCAGTTAAGTTACGGTCAATATATGACCCCGTAAGAATGTGTTATTGGTGCCTGTTGCTACACCAGCAAAGTGAGGGAAAAAAACTAACAAGATGGGAAATAGGGGGAAGGAAATAATGTGATCTTGAATGAAATAAAAATCTAAAAATCCTATTTGATCAGAATAAACGATGATGACGAATGTAAAATCAGGATTGACACTAACTTCAAGGTTCAGAGAATGATGGAGAATGAAGGCAAATGAGTTGTCGTGATCACTTTTGGAGCATTTCCTTCAAAATCTATTACCATACATTACGACTACTGGATAGGTTTCAAACAAGAAGTTTGCATCTATTGATATGGCTCAGACTAGTAATAAATAATTTTATTGATTAATTCACTGATTTGTCTACCCCAAAAGTTTTCATCCTATTTCTCAGTCTTTGTTGATTAAAGTAAGTAACTAACTATTTAATGGATTTGCATTGCTTGTTTGAATCTTCCACTTGGGGTCTAGAACTCGATAAGATCAGTCTCTTTTGACATATGGGCATTATGTGAGGATTGCCTCTATATTGCCGTTAAGTCACAAGCATTATAGAGATGGGTAATGGATAGCAGTGGAATCCAAGATATGCGTTTAGTCTTACTTAAGACTCTTCAGCTGGATGTACTTGAATTTCAGAGTTGACATTTACTCTTTGACTCGAAACCAACACCATTCACTTCAAATGCCACTGCGTTATTCACTTATATGTAGATCTCAACTATTCATATGGTTTTTTTATCCACAATAAGATATATACATCAGAAGTGTCAAGTTAAACAATATGGACGACAGATAATTTATTAGGATAAATGAATCATTCAAATAAAGAATATTATCTTACAAGTTTAGTGTTCACTACGCCTAGATGCTATTTGTATTTAATTTATTTTAAATCCACTTTTGTTCCTTACGTTTTTTAATTCGACTCAATAATGAACAGACTGTCAAATTGTAGCACACGAAACTAATTCATCTTTCTTCCGAAATCTTATAACCTTAATAATTCTATTCCATATTCTTTTTTACATTATTTACAAAAGTGGTTTATGTTTAATTCACAAAAATTCAGTGTTTTTTTTCAGGACTTCATCGCAACTTCTTCACAGCCTTCTTCTGTGAATTTTTTATCAATTGGATAGAATTGATTCTTCAAATTCATCTACCACCCAGTTGAAGTTCATTTTCTCGACTTTTCTTTCTCAGGAATTAAAATTATTCAGATAAGTACTAACGAAAAGGAAGGTGATTTTCTTGCTTTATTAGTTAAACTTGATACAATATTGCTAAATATTACAAAGTTTGATCCACTTTGTGTGCAAGTTAGATAATCCTATCTGACTGATTAAATTAAAATAGGTGAAGCGTAGTTCAAGTATGTCAACCTAGAAGTGAAGATTTAATTTGCTTAAATCGCTAAGCTTTCATTTTACTTCTATATAATAATAAAAACTTTTAAAATACCTTGCTATTATCCAATCTTAATGTTGTAAAAGCTAGATAGTCATGTACCACTTTAAAATCAAATGGTAGGTAAGATAAACCTTTGAAGGTATGCTACTGGAAGTAAATTATGCATTAGTCAAGATTTTAGCCTACATATCATTAGTTGTATCATGGAGGACAGATGTATAAATACCCATCATTTGTGTACATACATAATACAGTTTAGGAATTAAAGCTTTGTACAAGTATTATAGGGGTATTTATAAAGACTGAAATTTCCATAGTTTAAATCATGAAATTATTTAAGCAAGACCATAATTTAAAACCTGAAAGCACTGAATGGCCGTTTCTTCATAGTATAGGTATACTCAGAAGTGAGAATCCGTGACCCTGATTCCAGGAGTCAGGCACAGAATCTTCGGTCTCATACAAGAACGTTTAACCTCTAGACTACTAAGCCATTATACAGTGGTGTACATGGCTAACTTCAATCAACTCACTATATCTCGCAACCGTCGTCCACTGTATGTGGTGGATAAATGTCTCATATTCGATATCGTTGTACTTCACTGATTACTGCTCCTCATTAAAACTACAGGAGTTGTGTTTTGAAGCTAAACACTAGTAAGCACGTGATTATTGTCAGTATAGAGAGGGGGTTGTGGGGACTGTAAAATTTTAATATTTTAAATGACGAACTGATGTTATATTTGGACGACCATTGGAAACCTAGTAGCAGTTGTTGTTATTGCTCCATTCAAATAACTTCTAATATATTTATTATCCATTATTAGCTAAGAACAAATGTTTGATGTATTATTAAATGATTAAAACTTAAAAGAAGTCTATCCTACTCTGATCTTCCGAGAAAAATAAAGCAACGTTTTGCTATATCATCTCGTTATTAAAAATTTACCGACATTAAGGCTCAGAAATTTAAAATATAACAAATAGATCTGCTAAAGAGCCCAAGATTTTTAGGCTTCATGAAAAATCATTGGTTTAATCTGCTGTTGAGTTAGAAGATAGGGAGAAATAACTCAAATATTACTTACTAAAAACCCTTCCTCAAATATGACTCTATTAATATTGATTGATGACTGACCACTAATCAATTACTGTCCATCTAGCCCTCAGTATTAATCGACTATATTATAATGTGTTATAATGAGTTATAATGAGTTCCAAAGTATTCTTCAGGAAAGTCTATAGGGGCCTAAAACGCCAGGAAACATTTTTTCCAATCAACGCTGGGTAGAATCTTCGCAGAGACATCTAGAAAATGGAGTCACGCGTCACGTTTCTGATTGGATATTTACCCACACTGCTACTATATCTCGTATGGTCCCAGAAACCTCAAAAAGCCAAAGTTTGTGTATAACTCCACAAATACCCTTGTTTTTTTTGTCAAAAACAAATCTTAGAGTAAAGCGTTCTCTTTGTATTTTGTCTCATTTCTGTCGTGTTCAAGTTACTGTGTAGATTTAGCCTGGAGGGGGGTTATTAAAAGCGACTAGGATATCGCATCGAGCGTCCATTCAGAAGGTATAAATGCTAAAGTTGGATTTGATAGTTTAAAATAAATTGAGCGTTGGGTAGATAGCACAAAATTTTATTTCTGACGTTTCGTAACTTAAAAGTATATAAGTAATCGAATTAAATTAACACAAGTTTAATTAGTACAAAGGAAACAATGCAGAATATTCATTTAGAAGACTTATGATTAGGTGACTCGAAATCACAGGTCAATATTTTCCACCTAAATTTTGCGTTAATTGACATACCTCCAAGAGCATTTACAGTATTCGAGAAAATGATGCTCTTTTGGGATTCCAACCAATATTATTCATCATCATATTTTTGAGTATGACTTGACAGCCGAACTAATGAAGACTCAGATATTTATATTATTTGATCATTCAATAGTAATAAACATCATTCTATTCCTTAGTACTGATCAAATTTAATTGATCAAGGACCAATGATAGCTGTTTACTTATGGCTGATTATATTGGCTAACGTGTGGGAGTAGGTTTGAGAGCCAAGGGTGACCTAACTATCTGGTTGCTCTGACGTAATGTAGCAACTTGAACCGATGTGGATAACTATTCGGTTCTACGTTAGTTATGGCTGACTGGCTGTCTGACTTGGTACGAGATTTTGTAAGTACTTCACACATCCATACACACAAACGTAGTCTACACTTCAACAAACATACTCAAAATCAAACAAAAACAAAAACGTTTTAGCCGAAAACACGTACTGCTTTTCTTACATCCGAATAAAATATTGCAAGGTGTACTTAATTATATGTTTAAATGAATCTAACAAATAATACAAGATAGTAATAACAATAATTGTGCAATTAATAAAACAAATGCCTTCTACTAGTAATCTCAATTATTCTCTGGTACTGTGTGTGTTAAGTTAAAGGTGTTTATTATTTCTCAATAACTTTTCAGTGCTTTTGAAAGAAATAACAATAACAACGAGTGTGATAATACCCAAAAAACGAATGTCAACAATTACATCATGAAACACACGTACAGTCATTTACATCACATGCTTATTTCACAATAACTGACTAGAAGATTAAATGCTGTTATTGTTTGTCTATTCGTGATATAGATGACAATAATGACTTTGATGTTGTACTATTGTTAATTATTTATCATTTATTTATCATTTAAGTTTTCCCATTTTAATTCACACTTAAAAAACAAAAAGAACAACTTCATATCACAGTGGAAATTTAAAAGAAAAGAATTGTGAATAAAGAAAAAAATAAAAGAGAATACATTTCTGTATGAAAATCAAACAAAAAATAATCTATTAAATAACATTAAATCATTAACCAAATAAAACGAAAAGTGCTCCACAATTAGATATCACAATTAAAACAATGAATGAAAGTAAATATTGGATTTTCAAAAAAAGAACGTAACTAAAAAGTATAAATACAAAAAAAAATTATTATTAAAAAAATGAATGAATGAAGTACGTAATGAACTTGTTTATACAGTAGTAATGGTGAGATTATAATTTATGGACGACTTTTGAGGGATGCCAAGGTGACCTTATGAGTGTCTTCCTACTTACTAGGGCTAAATGAAGGTTATAAAGCAGTTTGAAGAATAAGGATTAATGGTTAGGGTTAGGAATTAGATTTATAGTTTTTCACCACGAACTGACATCAGCTATAATGCCAAGACTCTATTTGGCTAGATGGATGAGTGAATTTCGCGCCGAAATCCGAGACCTGTTATCTTACACCTGATTGGTTCGTCCATGAATTATAGTCTCATCGTAGTAATATATTTAGATAGAATGTTTAGAATGTATATTTAAGTGTAATATTCAAAGTGTTTTTAGAATATATTGATGTGTACAAGAACGATATTTTTCTGAACTAACGGCATATTTAAATTTATTCATTCATAACTTGTTTATGATAATGCTGCTGCTGCTGATGATGATGGTTCCAGTGGATTCGCTAGTGACCATGGATATTGTTGAAAAGAATTAACAATAACTGTACTGCCCCAACGTATTGAAGATGGTAGTATATATAATAAACAGCCAATATGTTCTAATATAGGTCTATCTATCCAATATAAAGGATTGAATAAATTAATTTCTGATGAATTCATTAATCCAGAGAGAATATATGGCCATGTTCTTAAATATGGTGAGGCTAAAGTGAAACCAATGAATACACCTGCTACATTTATTGGATGACTCAATCCTACACTGTATAATTCCATTCCACAACCAGCTGAAAGTATTAAAAAAAGAAATTCATTAAAAAATATTACACTATAGAAATTTGTATAAGAAACATAAGAAGTATTGGCAAAACTAAAGTATAAGGATGCACTAATTGGGTATCGAAATGTAGTCTCAAGGCCACTGTACGTAGTTCAAATAAACGTGTTGAACATCTATCTTATTACTCTAGAGTTCAACAGAAATATAATAGTAACATAATTACAAATGAACGGGCTGATTTAGAAAACCCTTTCATGTAATATTAATAAGTAGGTAAGACGGTGAAATATCAGGTAATACGTCATACTGTACTCCGTTGCCAACTGTGTAAGAAAAAGTGTATGAGCAACGTTGGGTTGCTGCTACATACTACTTATATCTATCGCGATAAGTAGCATACATCACAATGTTACTTGTTATCAATTAATGATCAACGTCTACTTAGTATGGAGAATGTTGAAACCCAAAAACTATTGTACATCTGTTTCATCCTATATTAGGACGTCTTGAAAGCACGTATAAACGACCCTATAGGAGGGTTGAACTCATGCTCTCACTAGTGACTAATTTCGAAAAGTAACTCCAACTCCAATAAAGAGCCTGGATTATTCGAGTTCGAACATGAACATATAAACCATGCTATCCCGAATAAGTAGCTTAAAGGTTAAGTTTTAGCTATTAAATCTGAAGGCCCTGGATTCAGTTCATGATGGGATCTTTGTTGTGTACTGCTCAAGTACCCCATATTGAGAAGTAAAAGCTGTCCAGAGCCTCCTAGCTGTCTGACTACGGTATATAGCTAGTTATTAAAGAAATAAAGATTGTTATATCCCGATGAGAATAATGAATGGTAACTGTTGGGATCCATTTATGGAACAATACCATATGTATATTTCTTATTGTATAATTGTTAAGTAACTAAACTATTCATATTTGTGTTTTTCTTATTATAAACTTTATTTTGACCCATAGACTATTATTATACGATTTACCGTCCTTGAGTTATGCCCAGTCTATCAAATACTATCTCCCACATTCACAGTAACTTTTGGCTAAATCTTATACAAATGTTATTTTCTATTTTATGATACCATGTAGTCTGTTTGGTTTGTACATAAACACAGTATGTTTGAAATGCATGATTCATATCACAGAGGCTGAGATTGATGTTCTGGACTTAACCAGCTGGACTAGGTGGGAAGCAGGGCCGATAAAGACTAAACTGATCGTACTTTTTTATGCATCATTGGTCCGGTCGATAATTCATTGCTTTAGAATTGGTGGTATCATTTCGTTATGCATTGAAAGGGGCACAAACTCACAAGTTATAACAAACATATGATACGAACTGCTTGAAGTATGAAAAGGATGGGAAGTAACACTGTTTATGTAAAGCTGAAATGGTCAATGTACAGTATTCCACAAATATTTTCTTTGTATGCATTTTTTCATATTGTCTGATTGCATTCAACGGAAATATGTCAGAAGTTGAAATTATTTCACTGATTACTTACTAATTATAAGTATAATGAAGTTACCATATGATATACTAGAACATTACTGTAAATACTCTTCTATTCTGCAAATCTCATTATTATTGTATTATTTTAAATTTATCAAGTGATTACACATTGATAATGAAGATAACCCATTATGTCACTGAATTAAAATAAAGAGAATCCAGCGAAAACAAATTTCTTTTTGACGAATTCATTTACTTAAGCTGTACATTCGTATATGTATATAGTTATATGGAAGATATAGATCTATTATCTGACCTACAAATTATTTTTATCCTTATATTCCTTCCTTACCCCTTGATTAGTTCGTAACCGCATTTTTTATTTAGTCTCGAATCCATTTTATGATGCAATCTTTTCTATCCTATCAATAGCAGTTCAAACTACTCTAATTAAAGGAAATTCTACGCATTCTCAAAAAGGTCTACGCTGGATGACTGAGTCTGCAAATTTTGTCATTCATATCTTGTTCAAACTTGATCACGGGATCAAGTTGTATAAAGTTTTCTATCCTATGAAAGGTTATTCTGTTCAATCTTTTAGATAATTACAATAATAAACTGACTTGAGCGAGTCAATCAACAAAAATTATAAGTAAATGAAAAGTAATTTTGTTCTGATAAGGGGATTCTGATCGTCAAGACGTTTGCGGAACTAATTCACGATATTCATTGACCATTGTTTATTATCATCGGTAATACTTGTTTTATTTTCTACATGTCGGTCCTACAAGAGTTCAGTTGCTGGCTGAGTAGATCAATGGTAACATTTTAGACTATGAAAGTAGGCGACGTAAGTTTGAGTCCAATAGGGAAGTTTAGTTTCCTCAAGATTGCAGGTATGTTTTGGTGACAAATGCCAACGAGCAAAATGTCTATTTTAGAGGTTTTCGTGGTAAACACTTTCAACTACTAGAAATGATTGACGATTTGTTTTCATTCTTATGTGGTTTGTTATTGTACTACATTAAATCATTCTTATATTTTTAATAGTTGAAATTATTGTCAAACTAATTATAAAGTCTCCGATGAACCAATTTTGTGAATAACAAAACAGAGCTTTTATTAATAGATATTACTTTGAATGAACAGCCAGCGAGAATCAATCATTTCATATTAATTCAACATTAATATGAAATCTTCCACACTTAGCAGGTGGCATGATAACTAAAATTAATTGATAGATCTCTATTTGTTCTATGGAATAAGGTAAAATATTTTACTTTTTTGATAAATTTTTATCATTTACATTGTTAATACTGAAAACACATTGAAATCTTAAATAAAAATATAGGATTATATTTCATTAGTTGGGGTATACGGGTGTAACTATGACAACCAATGAATTTTACCAATAAAATCAATTTTAATTTTTATATCGACTTTGAAAAACGGATATTTATGAATTAAAAAAATGTTCAGAGAAATCATTTTTGTAACAAACAAAAAAAGTAGTTCCCTTAATAAATTCTTTTTCTTGAAGGTGTCTTAAAACAAATGGATATTATATAACTACTCACTTTTTGTTGTTGTTGTTTTTGTTAATAAAATATACTATAATGACGAATTAATCAGTTCTAAGATTATCATTTTTGGATTTTTGTGTTAAATTCAAATACCTTACCAAAAGCTAAGGAGTGAGGTTATTCATCTTGTTTTAATGTTTATTAAAGTGCAGCATCTGACATTTTCGAACATTTCACCATTTATTTGTCGGGTGATTGATGCATACGAGAGCATAATTTTTACTAAAGACTTCATATAAACCATCTTAAACTATACTCACATGTCTTCTATGGATACACTACTAAAGCGAAAGTTACAGCTTGAAATGATATCCTCAGTGAAAATTTTGCATTTATATGCAGCACACACACCTATTAAATGAACATAAAATGTCCAAAATGGCTAGATATTGCATAAATACTGAACATTTAAAGACGAATGTACTACAAATTCACGGACGCATCCAATCTCAAGAATAGTAAAAATTACTCGTCTTATGTTGTTAAAAGACTCGAAAAATTGTTAAACATATCTGTTTTGTGACCAAAAAGTGATTATGAAACGGTATGTAAGCAACATTACAAGTATCATATGGTATTGTTGCATACTAAATCTGAAACGCTAATCATCAGTTAAGATTACTTGATCTAATTCGGACCATAATCAAAGGTGTTTGTAGGGTCTCTCAAGGTCCTCAGCTCATTACGACCTAACAGGTGCAGAAGCGTTACTCAATTCGTTGGATCTCGTGTAAAACCATGGCTATGTATGCACCCATAAGAGTTCCAAATGAGTACGGAACAACACTTTGGTTTTACAGCTGTTCTTATTCTACACCTACAGATTAAACCGATCTTCACAATAACTCACTTCATTTATTTTGAAGTATATGTGGCATATAAAAATTCGTAATAAAAGGGGATAAGATTTCCAGCATTCCTACTTATCAATTAAATTAATCAACTTACCCATTATTCGATGAAATTGCCCCCTTGGTGTAAATGTTGCACCATATAACCAGTAAATATGTCTTGGGACATATAATGTTGCTAAAGTAATAACATGAATAATAGCGATTGTGTAAATAGCATGAGTTTAAATCAGTAAATCAATAGATTTTGCCCTATACCTAATCATATAGTAAATAATAATATCATAAATTGAGTAAAGTTGAAATTATGAATTACTGGTTAACAAATCAGTGATTAAAATGGTAATACATTTTCTCCTAGGTCTGGATGTCATGAGTTTAATCCTTGATAGGGTGGTAAGTACGCATATCACTAAACGGCTCGATTCTGAAACCAAATAGTTGTCTAGAGCTCTCATGTTGTCAAAAGTTGTTTCACTGAAGATGGTCTACTATACATAATATTGTTAACAACTTTTACAGGTAGCAGATAACTAACATGAAATTCAAGAATACCGCACTGAGCTGTGTTGTGGTTGAGAAACGTTCCAATTTCAAACTAGATATTACTATCAATTCAATGTTATGGGTTTTTTATTGAATTCAACATGATGGGTTATCTTAAAAAACTGATATCATGACTAATTGTTTTTTAAGCTGTGGAGAAATTATTTCACAGAATAGAAATTATGAGAAATAATACAGAATTCTTTACTGCACCGTTAGACATCTCGTTTTCATTCAGTCGTTCTCAGTCTCTCTTTGAATTATACACAAACAAAAAATATATGTACTTATGAAAATGAATAGTAGGATATAGAACTGATGGAGGACATTTGCACCTCAGGTGGATGTTTTCGATTTATTAAGTTCTGTAAGCTAAATGGTTTAGTTGGAGAGGTTCCTTTGTCGTTAATGACAAGTATCATTAGCACCTTATCCATATTAAAGATATAAATCTAAGAAATTACTATTGAGGGTTTATGATTTCTTGTCGTTGACATTGAGGACTGAATTTCGATCATTTTCTGTTGTCATTATCTTGATCAGATCCCGTCGAGGTAGCACTATGTTACAACTTTTAGTGTATTTAGACTTGTCAACTTGATACACCTATAACCCATTTTGAACGTTCACACAGAAACTCGAACCCAGTACATTTCATTTTAAATAGCCAATACGTTATTCACTGAGCTACTGGGTTAAGATAGACACTAATTCAACGGTTGTGAAAGCTTTAATAGGGGTTATTAATTTCCTGCATATAATCAGACTATGTGAAGTTGCTTCCAGTATTGTATACTTCATTCGTGTAATAAATGACCCTTTTCCCCTATTTTACTACCACCACTAAATAATCGTTCGTATATTCAAAGCAATTACAAATCACTACTTTATATTCTGTGATTACTGGTTTGTGGTTATTTGTGTTTATCAGTTCTGAATTATATAATCTTATATGTGGGCTTGTTTGTACGTAGACACTTCTATTATTCTTTGTTTGATTTTCTGTTAAATGTCTTATGCATTTTTTCTCTCCCTCATTATAATTTAAGGCTATTTTTATACTCTGAGCAATCGAAGAAGTTTGAATTAATCTCGTTTTTATATAATATTTGAATTGAATTATTTTCTTTGAACCTTCATGATTTCCGTTTTCGTATCTTTCGAATTGTTGAATTTCAAAAATTTAAATCAAGTCATACATGCACTCCATTGGTGAATCTGAAACTGAGATGAAACAGTTGTCCCATGTTTTTTCTGATTTTCATTAGTTTGTTAGTCGATGTTAGCTTACGGAGAATCATCTTAACCCCAAGTATAGATAAAACACTATTAACATCACACAGTAGCTGTTATATCCTAGTGAAGATTAAATTATGGGTAACTTCTGAGAACTATTAATGAATTAATACTATATATATATTCTTATTGTATAATTATTCAGTAACTAGAATTTGTATATCTATATTCCTCTTATTATAAGATTTATTTTGACCTACAGAATATTATGATACGAATTACTATTCTTAAATTATACTCAGTTTATTGATTGCAGTCTCCCACGTTTAAAGCACTTTTTGGCTTGATCTTGTATAAATGTTATTTCCTATTTTATGGTGTGAGGTGGTCTGTTTGGCTGGTATATAAACTAAATATGTTTTAAATAAATGATTTGTATAGTGGAGGATGGTATTGGTGTTCTGGACTCAGCCGGCAGGGCTAGGATGGGAAATGACCAATAAGGACACTGACCTGCTCATACCGTTCGAACGTCATTGGTTTGACCCACTGCGATGACTGTATAAGTCGTATTTCGATTGGCGAATAAACGACATGATAGTTAGTCGGGCTTAAAGATACAACAGTGGCAGTAATAATAGCTATATTCTAATTGGTAACTAATTTCTAGATAACATTATTGAAGTTCTATACAGGTGTAATTAAATGATAAATCAGTCCCCAATAGGACGAAACGCACGCTTTGGATTCAACTGCTTGCAATAATACATCTGTTCTCCACAAACATTAACTAAACATTCAAAATGTTGTGGATGATCTAAGTAAATGAAATGATCCACAGCTTTCATATATTGGATAAAAAACGTGCTTCACTATTATGATTAGAATATTTGCTTCTTCTGATTAAAGCCGATTTATTAGAACAAAGAGCTTTGAAGATTGTTTACCTTCATAGTATTGCATTATGGACCCATCGTAGACAATCACTGGAAACTGGTAAACATTCGCCTTAAAATTCAATAATTTTTAAATTACATTCTACACATATGGTTGGTTTTCAACATTTACTAAATGAATTGATCTTAGTTAGACCGCCATTGAAAACCTGGAATCACTGAACGATCATTCGGAACTAGTATAAGACTCTTTAACAGTCGGCATTCGCAATTCTTCAGTCAGGAGTAGAACGCATTACTTTCGATCTCGTGTACGAAAGCTTAAGCTTGGAATATTGAGCCCGCCAACCATCAAGATTGACACTCCTTTCCAGTAAAAGATGAATCAAAAATTTCATGAGAAAATCGAACTTTATAAAAGCATGTAAAATGTTTGTTTGTACACTGACTTAGTTTTAAAGGCCATATTATACCGTTTTCAACAAATTTCCATTAGCACTTAGAGATAGAGAGGCATAACACTCATCACTATTTAATAACCAATCAACAAAAGTAACTACAAATAATTTGCGAATTACATCGTTTTTGTTAATATCTTTCATCGTTATCCAGGGTTTGATTGTTTAACTTGGGTTTAAATGTATTTCTTGTTACTTAACTCTCAATTAAGATTATAGGAAGTGGCCTGTGTGAAACGGAAATGCCAATGCAAACTTTTTTATAAATGTGTATTTTACTGTAATAAGTTGTTTATTAAGCATTCGTATCATAATCTAATTTATTTAGGTAGTCCAAATTGACCTAAATACTAGATAACCGGTTTATTGATTTCAGGGTTCAATCTAATCAGTGGACCTTATACGTTTGTAGTATTATCTTAGTAAGTAATAAAGTAAGTGATAATTTCCGAACTTTTATGGTAACTCAAAAGACATCCCCATCTATTCATTATATATTAATGCTTTTAAGATTTCCACGCTATTTTAACATAAAACCCTAGTAATGTTTTGCATATCTTATTTCAGTGTATTAGTACAGTTTATCAGTGTTTTGGATAATATAAAATGACCTAAGTGTATATGTCTAACAGAATTGGATTCCAAGTCAGTGGTCTGTAAGTTCAACATTCAATCTCTGATGAAGTCGTGGACGCATACTATTGAAGAGTACCATACTATAACAAAACAGTTCTCCAGTGCTTCCGGATATCTAACTTCAATCGTTTTGTGATCTCAATAGAATTTCAACAATCCTCACAAACTCATATACTGATAATAATCAATGTTTCTCTACAAAATGTAACTTGAATTATTTTAATTTCTTTTAGCAAAACAAAATGATCAAGTACGATTCATCTGGAAAGCTTTAAATCATATTTTGTAATACCATCACCAAACTAAAGTGAAAGTCATTTGGAGTTCATTGGTTAAATTTTCAAAAATGTTTAACTACCATATGGTATTTCTTGATCGATGAGCAATAACAAAATTACAAGATCACATTGATCAAAACTAAATTAAATATTGATCACAGTAATATTGATTTCTTGCAATTTACTAAAACAATTATCAATTTCAATAAATAAGTACCAGTGATTTGAAATTACTATTATTTTAAAGATGAATAATTTTCCATATACGGTTGTGGAGATTATTAAGTTTTTCATTGATTGATAATTACCATATGCTCACTAGTGACTAGCTTCATGAGGGAATTCTCGGAGTTCTGGTGAAAAGCCGTGACCAGTGGAGCTAATCCGTGTCGGGTCGTGACAGGTATCTAATTCAGTACAATGGAAGATGGTCAAGCAATTTCGAGGATTGGTTGAGGTCAGACATTAATACCGTTGGATGCCGGCTCAGTGGTCTAGAGCTTAAGCGCTCGTGCGCGAGACTGATAATTCCTGGGTTCGAATCTCGTGAGCCGGGTTCCTGAATGCGCACTGCTGAAGTGTCCCATACTAGAACAAAATGGCCGTCGAGTGCTTCCAGGTTTTCAATGGTGGTCTAACATCAACTGATTCATGATCACAATAAAATAATGAATAATTTTCCTATTCATCTAGTTAATGAATCCATGAAAAAAACTGTAACCATCCTAGCATTAAAAAGAGAAGGGGAAATAATTGTTTGCCGTTTTGACAGAATATCAATGCAACTCATCAAATTCAATTTTATGTACTGTACTTTAATCCGCAACAATTTTGTTAAAAATTACGAAAACAACTACTATCATTCAGCTAGTTAAATTAAGGCTAAGATGAAACAGAGTTCTATCCCTACAATTATATGGTGGAAAGTTCGTGTTTTAGGCATCAGGGCGCCGACATGGACAGTATGATCATACATTGGTTATACTGCTGATCCATTCGAATAGCTTGTAAAGAGAAGTTTGATTTGAAGTTAGTTATTGTCTTGATAAGAATTTCCATATAAAGCTAATATGAACGTGGAATATTATGTTTTAATTATCATGTTTTGGTCTCAATGTGGACATCAAC